CAGTCTGCGAGAATTCAGAATCCTTGGCTGCCTTGCTGAACCCAGTTTCATCCACTCCTTCTGGTCTGGATTCTGCACTTCCGTCATGTGGAGCAGTTGCGGAACTGTTATGAACGCTGCCTCCATGGGTAGAAGAATTGGCAACATTTTGTGAGACTTTACAATCCGTCACTGTCTTGCTGCTAAAGTCAGTCCGATTGATTGCGTCACTGCTCCCAGTGCTGTCTCCATGAGTGTGAGAGATGTTACAATCTGTCATCGTCTTACTGCAGCCAGTTCCATCCACTCCAGCTGGTCTGGGTTCAATACTTCTTTCGTTTGAAGCACGCACAGCACTCATCCGAGGGCTGCCTCCATGAACTTTCGCAGCATGTCCACCGGTTTGCGAGCCTTCACTTTCCTTTGTTTTCTTGCAGAAGCCAGTTTCATGTACTCCTGTTGCTATTGGTCCTGCATTTCTGTCATCTTGGGAAATTGCAGCCCTGCTCCCGGCGCTGTCTCTGTGAAGGATTGAAGCTGGTGTCGAGGTGCTTTCTGCGCTTCGTCTGAGTTGGCTGATGATTTTCTTGTCTGTCCTCTCTCGCTGTGCCAAAGCCAAAGGAGCTTCCACAATCTCCTCGTGTTGAACTCCCCCCCGTCTCTCCTGTTCCACCGGCTCCGCTGTTTCCTGCAACTCCAAAAAGACAAGTTGATTCAGTCTATTCTTTTCAGTCTATTCCATTCTATTCCCATTGTGAGCACCAGCATTTAACATATTGCAGCGTCCATTTGAGTCTTTTGCGCCTGTTCCTTGCAGAGATGGAGCTGAGTGGGTACAGCAGCCTCAAGCAAATCTCGAACCCTTTGTCTGGTCCAAACACACAAGAGGAAAAGGAGTACATTCCAGAGTTAAAAAGAATTATAACTCCTGATCAATGTTCTTTTAAGCTCTGGTATGCTCGCATGGTGGTTCGAGGAATTAACTCTAGAGTTAATTCTTTTCATTTCTGGCATGGTTGCTTGAGGAATTAACTCCAGAGTTAATTATTTTCCTTGTTCTTTTTCATGTTTGGCATGGCTGCTTGAAGAACTAACTCCAGAGTCAACTTTTTTCATTGTTCCTTTTCATGTTTGGCATGGCTGCTTGAAGAAATCACGCCAGAGTTAACTTTTTTCATTGTTCCTTTTCATGTTTGGCATGGCTGCTTGAGGAATTAAATCCAGAGTTAATTCTTTTAATTGTTCCTTTTCATGTTTGGCATGGTTGCTTGAGGACTTGACTCCAGAGTTGTACTGTCAGCAAATGACATGGGTACTTTCCAGAATCACCATAATCAAATGACATGGATCTGGAATATATGGGTGAAAGTCACCAAAAACATAGGTTGGCGGCATGGTTCACATTTAATCCACATTCATTTTGTCATTGGCCTCCTGCCTGCTTCCACGGTAGACACCCTCTTTCTACCAAGTTTCCCACTAGAGTCTTCCTGTCTCCATGGTCATGTGCTAATGCTTCACAGTCTGAAATGCTCTGTCCACAAAACAGGTGACATAGCAATTCAGGATTTTTCCACTGTGTCCCAAACCGTAGTGTCACGGTGCCAGTGTTCTCTCCCTGTAATCAACTTTCTAGTTTGCTAGTCTCCCAAGAGTAATTTTAGACAGACTTGGAAACGAATTAAATCCCGAGTTAATTATTCTTCCCTGTCCACTGTAGTGTCAGTGTGCCAGGGTTCCTTTATGCTCCTTCAGTAAACATGTCTATTTCCTAGTCTCCTAAGAGGATTTGAAACCGACAATGCAAAGAATTCAATCCAGAGTTATTTTTTTTCTTTCTCTGTGTCCCAAACTGTAGTGTCACTGTGCCAGTGTTCTCTTCCTGTAGTAAACTTTTCTAGTTTCTTAGAGGATTTTAGACAGACTTTGAAAAGAATGACATCCTGAGTTATATAATTCTTCATCTCCTTGTCCCAAGCAATGGCCCATGAAACCACATTGCAAAAGAATTAAATCCAAAGTTAATTCTTCAGATCACTACATGTGACTTAACAAACGTGAAACAAATCAACGGTGGATGAAATTCTTTCTGCACCCTATGTTGGACCAAGGATGAATTACCTCTGAAGTTAATTCTTTCTATAACTCCTGATTTCAGTCCCTACCCACACAAGAGATCCTCACGAGTCTTTTGATGTATGTGATTGTTTTCCCAATTAAATCAAGGAACCAATTTCCACATCCAGCGCAGGCTCGTTTCCCATGTTGGTCCCATTCAGTCGGACAGAAGTTTCCTGTCTCTTTGCATTCAAGACCTCAAGAAACAAATCAAGACGCGACGCTTCGATACGCTTTGTGTCAAAGTTTCATAGCTGGGGGCCTCTGGTACTTGCTCCAAGCATGTCCTCAAATTCTCCGGAAAATCAAGACCTGCTTCGTTGACTAGGGCACGATCAAATACTGTGTGTTGCAACTGCAGAGTGCAAAGATGCTGGCTTCGTCACCATTTCAGAACAACTCCTTGCGTCAACTTAAGCCAGTGGCGTGATAGTGCGCCAAGAGTCATGATGCAACAGCACTGCAATGGTCCATGTTCCAAATTTGGTAATGACAGACAGTGTGGCGCGGAGCATGAAATCCCTTGAAATACTCTCCTGCATTCAGCTTGTGAAGAACCTCAGCGCAACTTGCTGACGATACTCGGTGAAGCACTGAGGCTGAAGGACCGAACAGGGTTTTCCGTGAGGCTGGTGCCGTCTCCTGTGGAGCATTTGGAAGGTGAAAAATTCAAGGTTTTCTTTGCTATTAGTAGCTTCTTGTTACTAGTGGTAGGGTTAGGAGCTACTAGTAGCTTCTTGCTCCTAGTGGCGATGCCCTTTGTTACTAGTAGTTTCTTGTTACAGATCAGCAAAACGCAGTTCCTTATGATGTCCACAATGTTGGCCGGCGAAGAGCAGCCCTTTGCGGACCTCAGTAAAACGGTTTCGCGAGCACCACTCCACATATAGTGCATTTTGTGTTGGCATGGTAATTATACAATTTGGATGCGGATTCTAGTTCTAGTTGTTCAAAGAATTCATAGTTCTTCTTGTCATTGTGTTCACAAATCATACCAACAAAAACCTGAGGCAATGACCCAGGGAGGCAGCTGTCCTCAATAATGGCCAAGCACGCGACGTGTGGCAGAAAAATCGATGAGCTTGCATCAAGCTTGCATCAAGGACCAATACGCAGATGATGCCCCGAAGCGGGAGGAGGGCAGCAGCTGGGGAATGTTATTTCACAATCACAATTCCCAGGAAGGACACGAGAAACGTTCTGACAGACATTTGTTTGAGATGTTCACCTTGGTTTGACTTGGTGCTTGCTTGGAGTTGTGACCGTTGTTGTAGGCCCGAGACGAGGCCCCCTTCACCCTTTACGCTTTCGCCATGGTCGGTGTCGAAAAGGTTCGCTTCTAGCGGCTTCGAGATTTCAACAGTGGTAGACGGAGCACTGGCTTGTAAGAAGAAGGCGAAAAGGAGAAAAGAAGTCTGGAGTGGAAGAAGGCGAAAAGGCAGATCATGAGAATGAGACCAAGGAGATGACGCGCGCCGAAAAGGTTGTCGCGCCTCAGGCCAGCGAGCGGACTACTCGACAGGTCTGGTCCCATGAGGAGTGGAGGCAATGGAATAGAAGTCGGTGGGGTTCCTGGGGAGACTGGAAACAACCAGTCTATTGTTGGTCGGCTTCTACTAGGCGAGTCTTCATCCTCGCAGCCTGCAGGTCACGGCACGGAGACGACAGCAGCTCCTTCCAGGCCGGATCCGTGGACGCAGGGGGATCCCTGGCAGCAGCCATGGCAACATGCTGGCGGTTGGAACACCTCGAGCTCTTGGTGGTCGTCTGGAGGAAAAGGAGATTATGCCGACCCACCTTCGTGGGCCGGATGGGGAGGCTACAGGTTGTGGAGAAGGGCTCTCCGTCGATGGGATGGCAACACGGACGTGGCGGTTTGGAGGAGAGCGGAGAATGCTCAAGTCGCTGGACTGGGAACTCCAGTCGAAACTAGATCACCTGTCGGAAACCACGTTGGCATCCACCAGCTACCTCTTGGAGATCTTCTCGGCGCTAGAACCTGCGCGCACTCACCGGTGGACAGCATGACTATCGACAGGTTCGAAAAGCATTGCAGGTCCTCGATTGCGAGGAAGAGTCCATGATCAAGGGTCAGAAGCCCTACCTCCTGGACATCGAGCAGGGAGAGTCGGAGGGAGACGGATTTTTGTAGCCTTGGAGTACCAGGACGTGGACAAGTATGAGGCGATGAACCTGTTGGCGGAGCTGTGCCCAGAAGAAAGACCGCAGGCACTTCGATCAGAAGGAATCGAGGCCACCAAGGTCAAGCGCGAAGAGGAGACTTTCCATCCAGGAGCTCAAGAAGGTGACCGAATAGTGTGGAAACTGTGGAGAGAAGGGCGACTGGCATGAAGAATGCCAGAAGCCCCATCGTCCCAAAGGGATCACGACCAGGCGGCAATGCCTTTGTGTTTCTTGGCTCAGGTGGCAGCGATCAAGCATCAAGCGGATTCTTTTTGGCTTTGCTGTTCAAGGTGGAGGGCGGAAATTGGGCAGCCGGGCAAGACCAATTCTCCTTCTTGCAACTCCCAGCAGGGGAGGCGATCATCGACCCAGGGCTTCTCAGGGCCTCATCGGGTTGAAGAGTTTTGAGCGACTACAGCAGAAGTTGGCTAGTGGCTATCAAGCTGGAGCAGCCGCCGGGCCCAGCATCCGGCATGGGCGGGCAGGCCAAGACTTTGTTCAATGCTCTCAGCCGTGCATCCTGGGAGGCAAGCCCGGGGTCATCAATCTGACGGTAGTAGAAGAAGATGTTCCGCAGTTGTTGTCAATAGGACTCTTAGAACACGCGAAGAGCGTGATAGACACGGACCAGAGTTTGATTTTCTTCAAGAGCTTTGGCGCACAGGACCAAATGAATCGTTTGGCCTCGGGACACCGCACAGTTGATGTCACGAAGTGGCACGGCGGAAGCTTTCCCATCCCTGATAGACTCCAGGAGGAGTTTCAATTGCCCTCGAGAGTTTTTGACCTCTCACCCTCGGTCGCTTCGCGGGCGTACATGAGAGCGGCGCTGGTAGCCGGGGGGGGGAAGTTCAATGCGAGGGAGATAGAGAAGCTTCTGCCGGATATACTTTCCTATTTTTTCCCATCCCGGGCCAGTTTTGGGGAAGGGAAAACTTGGAAGACATCTCATTTTTCCAGGAACAAGTTTCTAGGCCTGATTGGAAAGCGCCGGACGGACACGGAGGACTTGACCATGAGCGCAGTCTCACGTTGCTTGCTTGCTTTCACTTCGGAGTCGTTCGTGCTAGGACTAGGCTTGACGGGCAAACCGGTGAGGTTGAGTCAAGAATTCCAGCCTGGCATGTCACGGTGTTTTGTTCAGGTCAAAAGTTGGAAGACTGGGTTAGAGGCGTAGCAGGAGACAGACAGTTTTCTTTCATGCTTGGGCCCACGGTTCAAGCCCGAAGCTTGAAGATTTTGAAGCGAGCAGCCCGTGTTTTCTGAGATTCTCTGATCGTCCTAGACATGATGCCGAAGGCGGCGAAGAAGGCGCGCGGCCGAGGAACAAGAGCAGGAGCGGCTGGAACAGATGTGGTCGCCGGTGGTCCGGAAGCTGCTGTTCACTCGGCGGGGGCCAGGCAGTGTGGTGAGCTCTCCGGTGACTCCGATTCGCTCGGAGGGACCCATCGGGGCCAAGGCGAAGAGTTTGGCGACGGCGCCCCGTTCGCCACCTCCACCGCCGCCGGACCAGAGAAACTCAAATGACGAAACGTCAGAAGAAAGACTTGATTTTTAACTTGAATTGCATGAGCACTGCGATGGACGCCGACCAGAAGTCATCAGAAATCACACATTTAGCTAGCAGGATCGAGCGGAACTGTGGTCCACCGAAAGAGACATCCACCCACGTAGTCTGTTAGAAGAGGCCAGGAGTCTGGCCTATGCAGAACTTCACTCAGCAAGCCTGATGGCCAGATAAGAACTGAAGATCAAGAGCCAGAGAGCCTTCAAGAGCCAGAGAGCAGATTGGGTCGACTCGACCGTGTCCCAGGTAGGTCTATAGGATCACGATCTAGCCCCGATGGGCTTAGGACGGTAGATGCCCCGATACATAGCACGTTTCTGTCGAGCCATGGCCAGAGAACTTGGAAGATCACATGGAGCTCTTTTCTTCAAGTCGCCTCACGAAGCTGGCGGAAAGTCAGGGCTTTCACGTCACCACGCCAGCAGCTTTTGACTTGCAGGAAGGCTGGGACGTTTTCAACTCAGAGGACAGAAAGAGCTTCTGGCGGACGCTGGAGAAGGAGGAGCCCGATTTCATCACCCTCTCTCCCAAATGCCGGGCTTTTAGCGTCCTCATGAATGCTAATGTGGAGAAGATGAGTAAAGAAAAGTTGCGAAACCAAAGCCTTGGCCATGCTACATTTCGCCATTCAGGTGGCGGAACATCAGTTGAAGAAAGGAAAGTGGTTTCTGCTGGAGCAACCGGTTGGGGCCTCAAGCTGGCAGACTCATGCAATGGCTTGGTTGAGAGCGCTTCGTTTTGCCATGGACATGTGCATGGCCGACCTACGAGTACATCCATCAGGGGGGCTTTCTCAGAAACTTAAAAGGCATCTTGTGCAATCATGTAGGGGTGTGTGCCGCGTTGGCCCAACTCCAATGTGACAGAACGCACATTCACCGACCTCTGGAGGGAGGTCTTGCGAGAAAGGCTCAGGTGTACACACAGAAGTTCCTGCAGACCATTCTTTCCGGTCTCCGCTGGGACGATGACTCTGCCAAGGAGAATGTGGTGGACTTCAATGGGGTGGCTCACACGGTAGATCTGGAGGGTGGCGAGTCAGAAGAGGAGGAAGGCGAGAACTTGGGATCACCCAGAACGCCTTGAACCTTATCTAGAGATCTGTCCAGCAAACTGACGGCAGATCAGCAGAAGAAGGTCATGAACATGCACATCAACCTCGGTCACCTTCCGGTCGAGAGGATGCTCACCATGCTCAAGGCGGCTCGAGCAAAAAGAAGCCGTGATGAGATATGTGAAAGAAAAATTTCATTGTCCGAACTGCGTGAGACAGCTTCCAGCAAAATAGCATCAGCGCCGAGAACGTTCTCTTTCAACCCCATTGTTGGCATAGACGTGTTTTATGTGAATTTCCAGGGTCGCACATTGGCTTTCTTGAACGTAGTATGTCATGGAACCAATTTCCAGCAGATTGCCATTTACCAGAACTACGACGGAGGTGTCCCGTCTTCCAAAGAAACATGGAGATTTTTTCATGAGCTTTGGGTTAGGCCTTTTGGAATTCCTCAAACCTTGATTGCGGACGGCGGGTCA